TCCATTTATGGGCAGGAACTAAAGGGCACAGCAGCCTCAGTGTCATCATCTAGCTCAGAGCTTTACACTGAAGAACGCACCTGGACGCAGGGTTTCAAGAGTTCCAGAGTCGCATAAGATGGTCATAGCATTGTTACTTCTTGCTACAGATTAATTCTAGGAGGTTTCTTTGGATTTCTGCAAGTCTATAAAACAGTTTTAAGTTCTCTAGCATCTCTCTCCCCATCATCTGTGATTTGACAGTTATTCCAGCCTCTTTGGCCCTCAGTTATCTTTCCTGGGATGAGGAACTGAACTGGCACAAGAAACTCAGTTTTCTTTTGTACAACTTTTTATTGTATGGTCTCACCATCTTCTGATTAATGAACTGATTTTTTAAAATCATGGTAAAATACACTTAACATAGAGTTTACCATCTTAGCTATTTTTAAGTGTGCATTTCAGTGGCATTGACACTGTTGTGATGAAGAGATGCTTTACAAAGAAGGAAGCTAAGAGATACAGAAGAAGTCACAGCAAGACTCTGTCAGCAGCTGTGCTGTACACCCAAATTTGCATGTACGGGGAAATCTGTGTGGCTACATAAAACATTTATAATTTTTGCATATTCCCATAGTCTATAATAAAGAGTAATTAGGAAAATAAAATGATGCTGTATGTGTATTACTCATGGCTATAGTCAGTAGTTCACATATACATGTGATTATCCCAGCAAAATTAATCCTTAACACTTACAGGTTTAAGAGTCATGCATCAAAGTATTTTCAAGCAGCCCTGTGGGTCCCCTTAATGTATTAATTTCTGATTTTGCTGTTAGACCCACATGGGGCTGCTGTCAGCACATGAGCTCAACAAGCCACCAGCATCTGCAGCTCGAAGGGGCCATTTGATTCTTCACCTGTTGTTGGACCAGTGCATCTCCAAAAGTGATGACCACTTTTTGGGTGTGAGGACCAAAAATATCCTGTAAAGGAAGCTAACTATAGTGATAGTGTGGTTTAAAAAATGGTGATTTTTAAACAGAAAATAGAAGTATGGCGAGCGTAGTAAGAGGAAGGTCAGATTCCTGGCATGCCCAGGTCCAACTTTGCTCAATAAAGAAACCATTTTGGCCACTTCTCTAAGCCTAGTGCAAAATCTCATGAAAAATGAAACTTTAGGGAAACCAAAGATAGTTGTGTTATTAAACAATATTTGGAAACATGTGATTACTGACAAAAGTATGAATTGAGTAAAAGCCAGGGGCTGTGCAGACATTTCTGTGAGGTGATTCCACTAAACCCATCTTCCCATGACTAGGGGTTGTTCTAAGAAATTTAGTGATACCCCCCACCCCATCTTGTTCACTGTCTCTCTGTCTCTCTCTAAGATGGAGCTAAGGAAGGTCCAGGTCAGGACTGACAGTCTTCCAGGAGCTGCTTTCTTGGCAGCTGAGGAGGAGAAGGCAGAGTGGACCACACCCTCCTCTGTGCGTCTGCCGGAGTGTGTTGCACAGAAGGGCCACCAGGCCTCAGTGTTTGAAAGGGCCAAGGATATTCCCCTTGTCTTAAGTGGGGCCTGGCTTCTTTTTAGACATGCCCTCAGTGGCCGTCCTATACAACAAAGTACCACAAATTTAACAGCGTAAAGCAGTGTATGCTGATCCTTTCACTATTTCCTTGGGTCAGGAGTCCAGACATTGCTTAATGTAGGCCCCCTGTCTAGAGTCTCACAAGGCAGTCAGGGTCTCAACTAAGGATGTTTTTCTTTCTGGACCTCAGATCTACTAACAAGCTCATGTAGTTGTTGAAATAATTTAGTTCCTTGTCATTATAGGACTAAACTCCCCATTTTCTGACTGGCCATCATCCAGGAGCTGATCTTAGCTCCTAGAGGCCTCTCACAGGCCTTCTCACAACAGGGCCACTTTCTTCTGCATGGCCAGCAAGGGGAATTTCTCTGACCTCCAGATCCCTTTGAAGGGCTGAACTGATTTAGTTAGGCCCACCCAGAATACTTTCCTTTTTGATTCATTCAGTGCCAACTGGCCAGGGACCATTATTGCTGTGAAATCTCTTTAGCTTTGCTTTTAATGAGGCATCCTACTCTATTCAAAGGTATTGCCATGCTCAAGGGGCAGATGTTATACTAAGGCATGGATTATTGGGTCGTCTTAGAATTCTGCCCACTACACCTGGTTATTTTCTTACCGTGTTTCTCGGAGTCAGGCTGTGGGGGCAGGATCTCTGTGCTCTGCATAGCTGCTTCCAGACCATTGGTTTCCTATCTCTCATGAAAAATAACAACACCAAATATAATTGACAAAACACTGAGACTTTTAGATTTGTGCTATTTGGCAAGTTTCTTTCTTTCTTTTCTTTCTTTTTTTGCCATCTTACCCCATGCTCCTGGTATCTCTTGTACATAAAAGACCACGCACTGGACTTTTAAAGCCTTCCTCTTACTCCAAGCCCAGCCATGACTGTGGATGACTTCAATTCTTATGCCCGTCTCATGGGGATGGGGCAGGTACTGGGAGACAGCAAAATCATGCATTAGCCCTTTGATTCCTTAGTGAGTTTTAGTGAGGTCTGAAAGATTACAGATGCTTATTTTGCTATTTAGTTTATCTTCCATATACTTCTTTCTTTTTTGTCTCTTTAGATACTTAAGAAAACATTAGCAACAATGAGAGATAAGATACAAGGACTGGGAGCTGTTTGGGGCAGACCTTGAGAGTTTAAACAGCTCACCTTTGGTCCCTGGGCTCGGTGTTGACTGTTGTAAGGAGATTAAAGAGACCTTTGAGGAAGGAGTTGACAGGAAAGGAGGTGACCCTGGTTCTGACTGGTCCGCTGCCTGGAGCTGCTGAGACAGCTGGAAGGGCCTGTGCCATCAACCCCAGGCTGAGCCCCTTTCCTTGCAGTGTGGTTTGGTTGCCAAGTCCCAGTCATGTGCTGATGTTGGTGCAGCCCTCAGCCCATGGGGACTGAACAGGAACTTTGCCAGAGCCCTTTCTTGTTTCCTGGTCTTGCCTCCGTTCTGAAGTGTCATTTTCCTGAGTCCCACACTGGCCGATGTGACTTTCTCAGGCATCTGGCCTGATGAGCCGATTGCAGAGAAGTTTACCTGAAGCTCTCTCTCCACCAGTTCATACAAGCAACCGTTCCAGAAGCTCACCGACTCAATCAGAAAGCCCCTGTTGTGACCTTTGTGCATCGTGTTTCACTGTACAGTTCTTCAGCACCCTTCAGAGGACAGCAGCGGTGACTCTAAAGTCTGTACAGCTCAGGTGGAGAGAGGGGTGAGAACTGCCTGGCTGACTAGCCCCCCCCACTGCTCCAGCGACCATTATCTGGAGCTGTGCCCCTAGTCACATGCAGTTATAAAAATTAAGTAGAAATGGAATAAGATTAAATAAAATTAAAATTCAGGTCCCTATCACACGGGTTGCATTTGATTATTGCGTGTGGTTACCATACTGGACAGCAGAAATGTAGAACATTTTGTGTGGAGATTCAAGTCTCTATCTGTTCTTTTGGGGTTTAAGCTGAACTGCTGCTCAGGTGGGACTTAGTTCTTTCACTTCTCTGAGGCCATTGGTAGTTGGGTTATACCTGTAAGTCTGTTCCCGGCAGGGGTCACCTGCCCCCTCTGTGGGAGGATTTTGCAGTAGCCTAGAGAAGACACCCCCTCCTGGGAAAGCGACCTCGAGGTTCTGGAAATACCATGTGCTGGTTTCTACTGCTGGGTAACAAACTGCTACACATTTAGCAGTTGGACACAGCATACATTTATCATCTCACTGTCTCCACGTTAGAAGTCCATCTGACAATAGTCTTAGCAGGCTGAATTCAGGTATCGCCTGGCCTGTGCTCCTTTCTGAAAGCTCAGGGGGAGGATATATTTTCTTGCTGCCTCAGGTTTTTGACAGGATTAAGTGCCTTAGGGTTTCAGGGCTAAGGTCCCTCTTCCTTACTGGCTGTCAGCTGAGGGCTGTTCCCAGCTCTAGAGCTGCCCCTGTTCCTCAGCTCTGGGGCCCCTTTTTTACATTCAATGCTAGTAAATGTGGGTTGAATCCCTTTTGTGATTTAAATGTCTCCTGCGTCTTCCATCCTATCTCCCAACTTTAAGCTGGGTAAGGTTATCTGCTCAGGAGGGGCTCCTGTGACCGTCAGATTGGGCTGACTAGGGAAACCTGGGAGAATGTCCCCATCTCTAGAGTACAGCCATAACTGCAGCTGAAGATTCTCTGTTGCCTGGTAAGGTAACATGTTAGGGCATAGACGTCTTTGGTCAGAGGGGTATGGCATCTGCCACATGCCTCCGGATTAATTCTTTGCATGTTATTAAATAAAAATAGCGGAATATTTGAAAATGTAGCTTATTTGAAGAGAATAATTGAGATCCTATCACCTTTACATAAAAAGGTATCATTAGTTTATTTTAGACATCAAGCATCAGGGAAGGCAGGAAATAAACAGAAAGGGGTAGAGAAAAGCTGAAAAAAGTCTCTGCTTCTCAGACATGTATGTTGTTTCATGGTGAAATACTCATGACAGCATAATTGATTAAATATCACTAAGCTGTCTCTGGATTAACCATTTACTCAGATTTCATCTTTTATAAATGAGAGAACATATAGAAGTGGCCTCGTAATTGTGAAGGTACTGTCTGACGTGGGTGGCGTGAGGGCAGCCCGTCAGGCTGTGTGTCCTCAGTGTCCCGTGGTCAGCACCTTCCCACCCATCGCACCGTAGACTGCTAACTCCTCATGTTTATGATGCTGCAACAAAGCCTGTTTTATCTTAACGTTGTTGCCATTCATATACTCATAGATTTCTGTACTCATTTTTAATTTATTATGTAAAATGTTAGATAAACGAGGTTGAAGAGCTTCTGGAGTATTTACAGATTTTAAATATTTTACGGTGATATTCTGTCTTGTAATAAACTACATTTATAATTTTTGAGAGTAAATGTAGGACTTACCTTTTTCATCTTTTGTTTTATCTCGTTAGCTAAGAAACCTTTCCAGCTTGGACCTACGTCACATCACTGAACTGGATAATGAAACCGTGATGGAAATTGTCAAGAGGTGCAAAAATCTTAGCTCTCTCAATCTCTGTCTGAACTGGATCATAAATGACAGGTAACTGCTACATAACATCTTAAAAACCCTTTCCAGAGGAAAACGTAGCAAATGCTGATTATCATTTGGACAAGGCGTGTCAACTTTATGAACTGAACGCACCTTTGCCTTTTTGAATTGATGTGTTTAGGTTTTAAAACCTTCTAGACCTATCCTGGTAATGGATCCGTTGCTTATAAGGGCAGCAAAGTTTTTAGGTGCTTTGACACAATGTTATAGCAACAGTAGTCTGTTGGATTTTTTCTTTGTTATCCATACAGGACAGATTGTTTGTCATTTTAATATTTGTGCAACTTTTGTAGTTGGATTTACTCTTCATTTTTCAGAGAAATGATTTTGAGGAACTGTCTCAAACATTGTGCCTTTAGGCTCTTAAGGACAGCATTTTTTTCCACTATGTTGTCTAGGTTGACCCCGGACTCCAGGGCACCAGCCATCCCTCTGCCTGAGCCTCCCAAGTAACCAAGCTATATATATAGTTGCTCACCACCATGTCTGGCTAGGGATGGCCATATGTTCTCCATATGTGTGTGTGGGTATATGTATATACATACATAATGTAAATGTATGTGTGTGTGTCACCATGGAACTGTTTGGACAGTCTTACGGTCCATTATTTCACTTTGAAGAAACATAGTTGACAGTGACCTTTCTGATTCACCTGTGCAAGTTTCAGCTTGCTCAGCTACATGGGACAGGGTGTGTGTGTCTGTGTGTTGTTTTAAAAATAGAAGTCACATGATATAGTATAAAATGTATATAGTGGGGCTTTTTTTCTTATAAATGATGATAAACATTTTTCTTTGAAGTATTGCATGAAGCAAGAAAAACTTATAGGGAAATTCTTGAAAGTTTATTATTATAATGAAAACAACAACATCGTAGCACTAGCACGACTGATTAGGTGGGTTTGTAAGTATGAGATAGGATTCTTTTGATCATAGCTTTTTGAGAAATTTTTTAAAAGATAGGCAGATAGGCCACCTTGGGTGGTGCCTGTGACTCAGTGAGTAGGGCTCTAACCCCATATACTGGAGGTGGTAGGTTCAAAACTTGGCCCTGGCCGAAAAAACCCTAAAAGAGTAAAAAAAAAAAAATTTATATATATATATGCGCCGCCAAAAATATTTTTCTTTAAAAATAGAAAGCACTATTTTATCTAAAATTGGAACCTGTTTACATTATTTTTTAAAATATTCTTTTAAAAATAGGAGAAATAGTTAAGCTTTTGTCAGATAATGTTTTAAATTCAAAACATCCTCCCGTTCAATTTCCTTTTATACTTTAACAGTAAAATCATGTAGATTTTACTGTTGGGAAAATCATTTTCCCCAATTATGGTAAATTCTAGTGACATGTTCTTAAGTTACCTTGAATTATTCTTTAAATTACATGACAGCCTTGATGTGACTTGTAAGTAAAATTTTTCTTGAAAAATTTACTCATCTAAAATGGATGCATGATCATCATTTATAAGAGGCGCCTGTTGTTTAGGAGTAATATTTGCTATATGAAGTGTATCAAAATCTAAAGGAAATTGAATGTTACAAATTTAAAACATAAAATTCTCTACAATCAATATTCCATATAGAAAGTTATATGATGATTTAAAATACTCTTTAAAAAGCTTTTTGTAATAAAGTACATAAACGTTATATACCTCAGGTATTTAACATTAGTTTATTGTTGTGTTAAATTTTTTAGTGATGCATTGAATTAAGAGAATACTGTTTGTACAGCACATTGTATTTCACCACAGTTTCTGGTACACCTGACGTGTGTAGCAGAGTCGCTGACTGGAGACTACTGTAAATGGTAAATGAGATGCGGGTCATACATGACTATGTGGGTTGTCTCCTAAGTAAGCGTTTCGCTTAGGTTTGTGTCATTTAAACACAGAGTTGGGGGGAGGGGTGGATTTATAGCCTTCTTCCTCTTTAAATGCTTATTTAGTCATAACTGGGGAATTTACAAATGAAAAAGCAGGCCTCACTTATTCGTCTTCCTCTGCCTTTGTTGGGCTCCCAGTCCTCAAACCTCGTGATAGCTCAATCTTTTTTTCCTACTTAACTGAAATAACTATTTGGTGTGCGATTCTAAATATATGTATTGCAGAGATTTATTTGCAAGTATTGAAAGTATATTTTTATGTTTTTAATGGAAAAGTTTGGATTAATTGAGAAAGCGTGCATTTGAATGAGGTTGAGCAGTAGAGTTTTAAAGATCAGGCTCTTTTGGGTTTTAATTACACTACTTGCACTTACCCTGTATACTGTAATAGAAGTTTCAAACATTAAAACCCACTTTGCAGTATCATCTAAATTACTCATCTCATTGTTCTCACCGTACTGTATTACTAAGCTAAGTAATATTTGTAATTATATTGGTATAAATCTAGGACTTCCCATCAGACTTAATTATAATTTCAGCACTTAGCTGAGATGGGTTAGTAACCTTCCATATAGAGGGCACTGGAATGCACTAATGCATTTAGCCTATCAATTAGCTGCTGTTTTACATTTGTTCATTATTATTATCCTCCAGTAAATCAGAAAGCATTTATTAACCCCCTACTAAATACTTGGTACTGTCTCAGACTGTGGGGCACTGAGTCCCTGCTGTTCTCACAGGTCACTCTCTTTAGGTGACATAGGACTTAATGATAATAGTGAGCCCTGTAAAGATAGAAAGGAGGAAAGTGACCTTTATTACCCAGGTAATTGATAGGCACTTTACACGTGTTCTCATTTAATCCCTTCAGCATCTTTTGTTCCGGGGAAAGTCATCCTATTTCCATTAAACTGAGGCCACTCGTTTGACTTTTCTTTAGCTTTTCAATGGATTTTTCCATGATTGCTGCCGTAAAAGGTGGGGGGGACAAACATTAAAAGGTGAATGGCTAATGAGTCAATTTTCTGTTTCATTGCTGGGACTCGCACACAATTGTCATTTACGTATAAAATTTTTTTTTAACTATTTTCTTTCATAATTAAAGAATAATGGAACTTTTAGATACTATTTTATAAGGATCTGCTTTTAATGTTGCTAGTTTTAATAAAAGATTCCTCAAGATAAATTCTATGCTTGTCTCAGTTCTTTCTAATATATGTATTAGAATAAATCTAAGATATACAAGATTTAGGTTTCAAAAGTTCTTAATCTGTAAGCAATTGCTTTTGGAGTTCCAAATTCAACAGTAATTGGGGACTTACTGTTATGCTCGTGGTGCCTCTGGGCATCCCGTGGTCTTTGAATTGGTCTTGTGACTAAGACATGCTGCTCTTCATCTTCTTTTTTCTAAAAGCACTTTTTGTGTCTAGAGAGTTAAACAGTATGATATTTTCTTGTGTTCAGAGGATGGTCTCGTAGTCATTTGACATTTACCATTGCTTTTGAATACAAATAAAATTCAAGTGTTTTATGAAAAGAGGACACTGACTATTTCTATCAATGATTTAAATTGAACATTTGGTTGTTATATCTCCTCCACTCTCAGTTTATTGAAATATTTATTTGTATTTGATACAAATCTTTTGTTATTTCACATCCAGTTTTTCTCCAGCGTGTTTGTATGTTTGATGCAGAGTCCAAAAGCAACACGGTTTGGATGTAAAAAGCTGACATATAAAAAACTGAATGGTCTGAGCATCTTGATAGCAAAATAATTACTTGGTTCTTTTATTATTTTTTGCCAGTAAGAACTAAATAAAATCTAATTGATTTAGTAGATCTTTACAAAAGATAAAGTTTCAACTTTACAAAAGTTTCAGTTTTTAAATTGACTATCAAAAATGTAATATTCCCATTTTCAATTTTTAATATTGGCCCTGAAAAAAAAAAAAGTTAGTTCAATCCTGTGATTTGTGTCTGCACCTGAGCCTTTCATCAGCAGGTGGCAAGGCTCGCTCCTGAATGAGAAGGACAGCATACAGTAACAGCACAACAGAAATGAATGAGAAATAAGATTCTCTGTCCTTTAGCTAAAGTCACAAAGCATAAAAAAAGCTGGGGTTGTTGTAGTTTATGTGAGTTTTGTTGTCATAATTGCTATGTGAATCTTGTATTTGTGTTGAGGGAGCTGCTGTGTTAGTGTGCACTCTATAAAATTTGGAGAATTTTAAATCTTAGGTGGTCTGGCCAGTTTTTCTCCAGCATAAACTGGTGGGCCACAGCAGATCCAGTCCATAGAGCTATTTTATTTGGTGCCTACTGCAATTTAAAAAATCTCCTTTTTTGCCAGTGCCTTTAACAATTAGGTTAGTTTACATGAGAATTTTATTTTATTTTATTTATTTTGAGACAGAGCCTCAAGCTGTTGCCCTGGGTAGAGTGCTATGGCATCACAGCTCACAGCAACCTCTAACTCCTGGGCTCAAGTGATTCTCCTGCCTCCGTCTCCCAAGTAACTGGGACCACAGGTTCTCACCACAATACCCGGCTATTTTTTGGTTGCTATTGTTGTTTGGCAGGTCCGGGCTGGATTTGAACCAGCCAGTCTAGGTGTATGTGGCTGGTGCCTTAGCTGCTTGAGCCACGGGTGCCGTGCCTACATGAGAATTTTGAATCTGGGCCTTCTTTTAAAAAGTTGTGGGCTCTAGGAATACTAGGCCCACATTTGCTCATATCAGTAATCTTTCTAGGGCGAGGCGTGACTGTTCTCTTTGTCTTCTCCAGTCACCACACTTCCGACCCTGCACGGTCCATTCTTTTAATTTATCTGCCTGTCCCCACCCCACCCCCCGCCATAGTCTACTAGCTGAATTCTCCTTCATTAAAATCCAGATATAGAGATTCAGGGTTTTTTAAAATATTTATTTACTTTTTAAATATTCAATGGCTTTATTTTTTAAGAATATTAGGGGTACATGCTCCATTTTTGCATAGATTGCATCCAAGTTATACCTGTATGTGTGCCCTTCACCGGACAGTGCACATTGTACCCAATAGGTGTGAATTTACACAAATATTTATTTTTAATTGTCTGATAATATATGCTAACA